ACATAGCACTAATTTTTTTTATCAACAAATAAATATAGTTTATTGTATAAAACACAAGAGGTACAAAAAACATAATCCTAAAAATGTATAAAAAAATTATTTTTTATCTAATAATAATATTACTTCCATTTGAAAATAAAAAAAAAAAAAAATCCTTCCAAAGAGATCGGGAAGTGATCTTCAAACTAAAGTTTGTAACTTCAATTTTCTTCTATCTTATCTTTAAACTCATTTTGAATTCTATCTAATTCAAATGATAAGAGACACTTATTCTTTCCATTGAAAAAAAAAAAAAATCCTTCCAAAGAGATTGGAAAGTGATCTTCAAACTAAAGTTTGTAATTCCAATTTTCTTCTATCTTATCTTTAAACTAATTTTAAAGTCTACTTAATTCAAATAATAAGAGATACTAATGTTTTGAATTTTATAAAATCCCAAACTTTCTTGAGGTTCCCTCTTCTGCCAATGAATTCGAGCACGACAGCCATCTTAGTCTATTCGCTTCCTCTAATCCTACTTAGAAATTTGTAGAAAATTCTTGTGTTTAACCACTCAAATTCATTCTTTGATTCCGTACATAGATTAATGAATTTAGCCTTGAAATTTTCAGGTAAGAGCCACAAATCCAAACTACTAAAAATTGTGTTGTTTTAACAACCTATACATAACCAACATTCCTAGGGCATGAACGGATATTTCTGCAGATTGGTAGGCTCGATTTTGTCCAGAATTGGGAACTAAGATAGATACATTCAAAATAAAAAAATAAAAAAATAAAAAAAAAAGGGTCGAAGAGGAACCTAGATCTAGGTTCATGGAATCCAATAACTAGGTTCCTTGTGGAACCCATAATCGAGGTTCCATGAACCCAATGACTGGGTTCTTTGCGGAACCTAGAATCGAGGTTCCACAAACCCAACTTTGGGTTCCGTGAGGAACTTAACAACTAGGTTTCATGAGGAACTTAAGAGGAAGACGATGCCGAGGGAGAGGAAAAACTAAAATTAATTAAAATTATGCCACATCATAAAAAAATAGTTCACATTGGATTATTAAGGCCACATAATGTTCATGTCACTGTTTGGGTGCCACGTATTGTATTTTTTAGCAATTATTAACGATGACATGATGATCTGTTAAAATATTAAATTTTTTACAAATTTTGAAAAGTGAAAAATGTTGA